TACCAGACACCAGACCTTGAGAATATGCTGGTCTGGAATGGCTCTGTGCCTCATTTGAACCATCCAATAGAAATGACTCTGTACTTTGCCTCATTTGAATGACTCTGTATTTCACCTCATTTGAATGACTCTATACTTCGCCTCATTTGAATAACCCTGAGTAGCGCCTCATTTACATTGACCAATGGGAATAGCTCTGTACTGCGCCTCATTTGAATTATCCAATAGAATCCCTGCTTCTCGCTTGCGCTTTTTGCTATATAAGGACCCCTCTCCCTTGGCTCGGCGCGCTTGGCCTCACAGAAGCTAAGTCGCCCCGGGTACCCGTGTCTCCAATAAAGCCTCTTGCAGTTTGCATCCAAGTTCGTGGTCTCGCTGATTCCTGGGTACGGGTCTCCTTCTACGAAAGTACCTCTTCGGGGGTCTTTCAATATCACCTGGGCAACACAGAGCTGGCCCTGGTGGTATGGGTGCAGGTGAGCCTGCCTGAGGGCATGAGAACAGGGCAACTTTTCCCACCACCCCCCACTGCTGCCTGATGCAGTGGGTGATCCAGCCAGGGCAGTGCTAGAGAACTCATCCTGGTGATGAGGAGGAAGGAGAGTTGGCAGAATGACAAACGCAACTACCACCCAGGCCCAGGACAAGAGCTATGAGTTTGCCCACCCCAAGATCCACCCCATCTATGAACTTCTGGAGCACATGAAGGGGCTGGTCTTGCAGATCCACAGCTATAGGATCTCCATAACACAGAGCAACAACAGGATATCCAAGAAGAGTCCTAGTGAGGGCCCAGTATCAATAGTGTAGCAGAAGCCAGAGGCCTCGAACCAGACCAATGACTCATTGCAATGAATGCTTGTAAATAAAGATGTATGGACTGAAAGACATACTGTGCAACTCACTGTATTGCACTACAGCTTCCCCCGATGAGATTGTTTTCTTTTAAATTTTACTTTATTGTATTTGGTGGGGGAGGTTGCAAGGGCAGAGGGCAGATCCAAAGGGACAGGCAGATGAATGGATTGGGATGCATGATATGAAATCCATAAATAAATCAATAAATAAATTTTAAATGGTAATGGCTAGTTACAAAAATGTTAGGGTATAGAAACCTTTAGATCAATTGATATGATTCTTAATGCTATTTTAAGTATTCAAAACTTGGGGATCTAAGGCAAAAGAGGGTTTAGGATTGATGGGAGATCATAACCATCCAGATATGAGACTGTGGAACTGAGACATTGAGATATTTGAGTTCCAAATCCAGATGAGATACACCTCTGAAATGACTCATGGCAAAAACACAACATTTCTTGCCTCCATCTTCCAAAAGAATCTTGTATTTATTTTCTACCAAAGTAGGTGATTTAGGAAGCCAAGGGGCCTCTGCCTACCTGTAGCCCAGGCACTGTGATTAGTATTCGTAAATAAGAGAATGAGACAGAGACATTCCTTTGTGACAGAACTTGCTGGAATAGTGATTTTTTTGGCTATCTGACTAGCACTAGCAACACTTAACATGATTTGGTGAAGTTTTTTTCTTAGGATATCATTATTTTATTCCTAACAAAAGGCTATGTCCAGAGAAAGTGAGAGGCACTTTCTCTAAATGAGGCAAATGAGCCCATTTTAGAAAGTAATTTGGATTCATAATATAACTTTCTTCTGTCTTACTTCCTGCCAGCAATTATACAGACTGCTATGGATGCTACCCCATCTTCCTTCTGCCCATGCGCCTGCCTGAGAAGATGTCAAGGGTAATGACAGAAAACGCCAGTTAATTGGGTGGCTAATCACTGAAAGTACATTTCCAAATGTGAAATTTGCCTCCATTTTTGTTTTGCGAGAACTAAATGAAGCTAGCTGTGTTATCATTTTCTCATCTTAAATTCAAAACAGTGAATGATACTGTACCTTGACAATAGTTAAATAGCATATATATGGCATAAATTAATATATTCTACTGTGTGAAACCCATCACATAGAGCTACCTTTCCTCACTTTAAGCATGGGAGAAACAAAGAGTAATGTGAAACAAGTTTTGCCCAGGGTTCTAAATGCCAGTACCTGCTGATTCCACTTATACTTTATTATTTTTCTTATCTTAGTACAGGAATAAAAATCTTGAATTAATAAGTCTAATATCCAAAGAGTTCTGTAAAATGTAGATTGGTTTCAACCTCATTTGGTGAATAAACTGGAAGCCAAGTGGTATAAAGTGACTTAAATTCTCTATTTGTCATGGTTTAACTAAATATTTATTGCTTGCTATAGAAAAATCTGTATTTATCTAAGTAATCCCCTCCCAGACCCTATGTAAGGAGTTCCATACGTGATGATATGTCCGCACTGGACATTCACAAATATGTTTTCTCCACTCTGCGAGGCAATAGGTAATATCCAGCATTTTAAATTATAGCAACCATTAATCAAATTTTCTTTAACAAGAATTTTGTATTTTGAAATTGAAGTCAACTCATTCCATAATCCTGAACATACGAGCTGAGATGTGAGCTTTGTAGACTCCAATCTAAAGTATGCATTTCCAAAATGAAGATAATTTGTATTCATGTGATATAAGCCATCTATTGTTGTGGCATCTAGAATATTTTACCCTCAAGAAGACAAACTTTCAGAGTTTAGTAAAAATTTGTTCACAGTATAGCACACAGAATAAAGTTGTATTACAAGCAGAGTCTGGTGATTCACATTCCTACATTCTCTGATCAGAACAGCAACAGAAACTCCATGGAA